CAATGGAATAAATAACAAAAAAGATAAAACAGGAAAATAAACAGAAATAACAGAAGAATGAAAATGAATCGTCAGAGAAAATCTTCTGCCCGGCCGCAATAAAATGATTGAATACAACTTTGAAGCTTCCCGTACACCCTGCGATCATCGGACGACACTTTTCCTGCGATGATCCAACCGCCGTACGATTTTTGTACGGCGGCCCCACCCGGCCCCGATTATCGCAAGGTTGGATCAGCGGTAATTAGAAGAAAGCACCTGGACGAATTGCGGTAATCGACCGCACGCATTTTCGTCTGCGCATGTGCAGTGTAGATCGTACGAATTCCGACGTACAGAAACGCCACCAACCTTGCGAACATCGAACGACCGCCCAAAGTTTTCTAACCTGCTGGTTAGTCAGAAGTCGATCGATTGTACAGTATTTGTACACTGCCCATCAACCTCACCGATATCGGACGGAGGAAATGCGGTCGCATACGAAAATCGGTCGATATTCGAAAAAGTGTATGGGCAGCTTAAAAGAGAACTAAGGGGTCAGTATGTTCCCCCATAGTTATCCTAAGGGTCACGGGAGGACATAAACTAGCGTCCTCCTGTCACCCTAAGCTCAGTATATAGGGAGCTACAGCTCGCGGTATACTGAGACGCCGCATCTGAAGCCGATCCCGACATTATTGTCTAGATCCGTCCAGCTGCGTGGTTGACAGCGGGCTCTGCCTATCTAGAGGCAGAGCCAGCTGTACCCTCCCCCGTCCGTTCCTCCAGTCAGCGCTAGAGGATCGGACAGGGGAGGGGTGGAATCCCTGCAGGGAGCCGTGAGTGACAGTCACAGCTCTCTGCAGGGACAGGATCGAGAAGTGAGCGAGCGCCGATATGTGTTCGCTCACTTCCCGGTTTATTGAGCCGACGTGTGACAGTTTCATTGTCACACATCGGCTCGGTCTATGAGGATGGGTGATTTTCACTCACCTCATAGTTCTCCGTAAGAATCAAAGCTCCTCATGTGTAGTGCAGAGAGAACATTGTGTGTAGAGGCCGCTCTGAGCTCCGGGGGAGGAGGTCACAGGGAGCTCCCAATCTTCTGGGCATGTGTGATTAGTTTCGCTCCGAATCAAAATTTGTACCAATTTTCCGAAATGGGGACATTTGGACACATCCGAATTTCCCAATCCCAAAGCAGCCGAATTTCCGTTTCTGAATTTCAGATCCCCTCCAAATTTCAGTCAGAAACGTAACTGAGTTGGACAATCGGATGCATTTTTTTGGTATAAGGCATCCGAATTATTATTATTATTATTACATAGTATTTATATGGCGCCAACAGTGTGCGCAGCGCTTTACAATATAATGAAGACATTACAGTCACAATACAATTTAAGACAAGATGGTAAGGAGGGTCCTGCCCCTGAGGGCTTACAATCTAAAAGGGAGGAGCAAGTGATACATGAGGAGGGAGCTGCTCAATGGAATAAATAACAAAAAAGATAAAACAGGAAAATAAACAGAAATAACAGAAGAATGAAAATGAATCGTCAGAGAAAATCTTCTGCCCGGCCGCAATAAAATGATTGAATACAACTTTGAAGCTTCCCGTACACCCTGCGATCATCGGACGACACTTTTCCTGCGATGATCCAACCGCCGTACGATTTTTGTACGGCGGCCCCACCCGGCCCCGATTATCGCAAGGTTGGATCAGCGGTAATTAGAAGAAAGCACCTGGACGAATTGCGGTAATCGACCGCACGCATTTTCGTCTGCGCATGTGCAGTGTAGATCGTACGAATTCCGACGTACAGAAACGCCACCAACCTTGCGAACATCGAACGACCGCCCAAAGTTTTCTAACCTGCTGGTTAGTCAGAAGTCGATCGATTGTACAGTATTTGTACACTGCCCATCAACCTCACCGATATCGGACGGAGGAAATGCGGTCGCATACGAAAATCGGTCGATATTCGAAAAAGTGTATGGGCAGCTTAAAAGAGAACTAAGGGGTCAGTATGTTCCCCCATAGTTATCCTAAGGGTCACGGGAGGACATAAACTAGCGTCCTCCTGTCACCCTAAGCTCAGTATATAGGGAGCTACAGCTCGCGGTATACTGAGACGCCGCATCTGAAGCCGATCCCGACATTATTGTCTAGATCCGTCCAGCTGCGTGGTTGACAGCGGGCTCTGCCTATCTAGAGGCAGAGCCAGCTGTACCCTCCCCCGTCCGTTCCTCCAGTCAGCGCTAGAGGATCGGACAGGGGAGGGGTGGAATCCCTGCAGGGAGCCGTGAGTGACAGTCACAGCTCTCTGCAGGGACAGGATCGAGAAGTGAGCGAGCGCCGATATGTGTTCGCTCACTTCCCGGTTTATTGAGCCGACGTGTGACAGTTTCATTGTCACACATCGGCTCGGTCTATGAGGATGGGTGATTTTCACTCACCTCATAGTTCTCCGTAAGAATCAAAGCTCCTCATGTGTAGTGCAGAGAGAACATTGTGTGTAGAGGCCGCTCTGAGCTCCGGGGGAGGAGGTCACAGGGAGCTCCCAATCTTCTGGGCATGTGTGATTAGTTTCGCTCCGAATCAAAATTTGTACCAATTTTCCGAAATGGGGACATTTGGACACATCCGAATTTCCCAATCCCAAAGACGCAGAAT